TTTGCCATGAGAAACAATGCCATTAGCAATCTACCATGTCCAGCCATGAAGAACAGTGAAGGAGCTGATGGGAAAATCAAAGAAGTACCAAAGATGGTGACAAGGATGGACTTGAACTAAGGTGGGAGAGAACAATGATGATGCTGGATGGGATTGGACCGATGGAAGATGAAGATTCAACAGAGAATGGGAAATGGTGGTCTGATTGAAGGTTCACGCCATCACTGCTCTGCCTCCAGACCAAAGAGAAGAAGAAGAAGACGAAGTCGACAGTGATGATGGATCTGAATAGAGATGGAAGATGATACTTTAGATTGATGGGAGTGAAGAAAACAGAGGGTAGGAGGTGTAGTTTCCGTCAAGCTCTAGTCCTTCTCATCGCCGCCCTCTCATCTCTCTCTCTCTCGCCTCTTCTTTGCTCTTTCATTCTTGTTTGCCCCTCTGAAGATGACGATGATTATGAATTTAGGGCAGGTAGTAAAATGCACCATTTTACTACTTGTGGTCTCTTTTTAAATTTTTTTTTCTTTTTTCTTTCTGTTTTTCTTTTTTATTTTTAATTCTCCCAAAAACATGCAATCAAAATTAAAAAATAAGGCAGCATTAATTGTCCTTAAAGATCAATTAATCACAATGATAACAATTTGGCCCCTATTATGCACTAATTCAAGGTAAACTACTCTAATATGAATTATATTCAAATAATGTAATTAAGGACCAATAACAATGATAAAAGTCCACCAAAAAGATATGAAAATGCGTGTAAAACATAGGTTTGTCAGGTACTTTCCTCACCCCTCACCCTCATATTCTGCCATCACACCTTCTCCCTCCTCATTTTCACCTGCAAGCAGAGAGAAAAATCAGTGATTGTAGTGTTGCATATGTTGTTAGGTTATGTTTTTGATGATTCCAATCTTCCAGCCCCTGTTATGCTATACGGCGTCAAACTCTATGAAATTTAAATGGGTGAAGATTGCCAAATTGAAGGGGATAGATTGAAGCCTAAATAGATTATATAGGAATTTGCACGTCACTTTCTCCTTCAATTTTGTGAAACTTGTGACTGATCTGGGAAGATAATTTTGTTGCTCTTCTTCTCTAATGCATATGCATGCGTGTGCATGTGCGTACTTGCGTGTGCATGTGCGTACTTGCGTGTGCATGTGCGTATGTACAAGTGCACGCATGTGTGCATGCACGTATGTGTGTATTGTCAAAGTGAAAATCACTTAAATGGTACTACCTTCTGATCCTTAATATGTTAGAGCTGATTGAAGGTTTGGATTAATTTAGTTCTAAATATGATACCTCCATTCATTCTGTTTTCCAAATTAATTTTTCCGTAAAAGTATCCATATTAATTGTATACATATTTAAGGGTTCTCACCAAATAGTAATTCTAATGTATATAATTAAGTACTATAGTTTAGAAAAACTAACATATATTTGTTGCAAATAATCAACTCAATTATTTTTTTTTAATGTTATATTTATCCAGCTCTTATATAATCTTTTTTTTTTTTTTTGGCGATAGCTTTTATATAATCAAAGGTATTAAAAAGTGTGAATATTTTAGGCTAACTCAAATGACAAGAGAGAGAATTCAAATTCTTGTCTCTTATGATACGAGTATAAGTACTATCTACTCTCACAAAAACCATGCGCTAAAGTTAAATAAGAAAACTACAAAGTGCATATGGGTTGATTAATGCATCGGGGTGGCGTACTCTTGTGGGGGAAAGCTTTCCTTTGCCACACAAACCTGCCAGGTTGACTCAATTAATGAAACTTGAATAATTATAGAATGTGTTCGATCTAGCACGCACTTCTAAAATTAAATTATGATGATAATCAAGAGTTCAATTTTTTTCCTAATTAGCCATATCATTAGCCTAATTAATCATGATTGGATTTAACTCTAACCCCTTGTTACTTCTAATATAACCTTAATTATTGGCAGTGGTGGTATGGGAGTGATGTAGAAAATCCGACTGGGGGCAGTTACGTAAACAGGAGTGAGGCTATTGACTTTTTATATCGATTGTTAAAGTAACTAATATGAGTTTAGATTAATTTCTGGAGAAGAGTGATTTAAAATAATAGATTTTAAATAGGATAATTTTTATGTAAAATTTTTTTTAATAAAATAGATTTTATGGAAAAAGTTATTCTTAAATATTGTTTCCCCTCCCTTATACAGCTATAATTTTCTTGCCAAAACTATGGTAAAGTTCTTCCTAGCGAGAGATTTGTTTTACTTCAGATAAGTTAAATCTCTTTCAACTCGACCGAACCACATACGTAACTTCTTCATGAATTATAATTCTATGCCTGTTTAATATGAATTTCGTGTATAGTCATCTTAATAATTTGTACTTATATCAATAATGCAGAAAATTTTTATAACGTAGGTTAGAAAAGCTCTTTTAACAAGGATTCTTCAACATACACCCAAAATCGACTAAAACGTTTTTATAACTTAATAAATATTTAGACCATTTTGCCTCTTAAGGGACTAAAACTTATGATTTGAAATTTGAGGGAAAAAATAAAAATATAAGTAAATTTGAGGAATCAAAAATTATATTAACTCTTTAAAATTTAATAAGTATTTTTTTGTCATTTTTTAAAATTTTCTTCACTTGTGATTTGTGAACGGCCCCTGCATGGTGTCGTCTCACTTTTTTTTCGATTGGATCACGTAAACGCCATAAAGCCCATTGTCCATCCAATTTTTTTTTTCAATAAAGAAATAGAGCAGTGGGCTTGAAATTAGGAGCCATAAAAAAGGGGATCCGAATATCGTCGTTACAGACAAAAAGTAGAAGTATGTTATTGGTATAAAAAAAAAGATAAGAAAAATATTAAAAATAAAAAGAGTTAATATAATTTTTGGTTGCTTAAGTTTGCTTTCATTTTAGTTTTGATCTCTTAAGTTTCAAAACATAGATTTTAGTCTCTCAAGAGGCGAAATGATCCAAGTTTTTATTGAATTATAGGAACTAATGTTTTAAATTAAAAAAAAAAGATTTGAGAAACCAAAACATATAGTTTAAAATTTAAGAGACTAAAATCAAAATGAGGACAAATTTTAGACATAAAAAATTGTATTAACCCAAATAAAAAAATGGTTTTACCATTCAAATATTCTTTTTTTTAATATTAATTTAATGACATATTATCACCAGCTATCATTTATATATGCCTAGATCTAAGAAGTTGAATACTTGAACCTAAGTTTTAAAATAAAAAATTATATAGGCAGAATTGGAATGAATAACTTTTTTTTTTTTTGCCGTTAAGAATTGGAATGAATAAACACTCTAAGCATATGCATAGATTGATGGATAATAGTGCAGCGTACATATAAGAGTCCAACAAACGCATGGGGAGGGGAATTTTTGTGTTGGCTGGTTGGCCGATTGGAGCTTTGGTTTAGATGTTGGTTTCCAGTTGCTTTCTCATCCGCCTGATGGTTTGTCAGGGCTTCCGCATAGAAATGTATGCAATGGGCGTTTCTTGCCTAAATCTGACCAGATTTTCTTGAATGAATTGGGCTTAGGCCCCGCACTTTGCCCAAAAAAAAAAAACCACTTCCAGTTGTTAAGATAAAAATTAATTAACTAATGTGACTAAATTAAAAAAATAAATTAAATTAGTTATTTATAATAAATAGGTTTTGTCCTACATAAAATATTCTTGCTAATTAAGTATCATTATATTAAATATTTAACACGTACAACTACTACAAAAACTATATTAAAAAATAAATAAATATGAGAGACAAAGTGAATCAGGTTCTTATATTTATGACCAAATTAAAAATCAAACTAACTCATATATTAAGTACCAGAGATATAATTTGTCAATTGCGCTGATAATGTTTAAATTTGACCTAAGATGGTTATATAAAAATCATATCATTTTCAAAACAATAAAAATTATGATTATGATTATTATGATTGTTCTACTATTTTATATATTCTATTTTATGTGTCAATATATATAACTAGATATTTTCCCTTGCGATGCACTGATTAACATGTTTAATTAGATTTAAAATTCTAATAAATTATATTATTTAAATCGACTTAAGATTCACTTCTTATAGGAGTATAGTTTTTTATTTATTCAAATGGGATTTAAATTAGAGGTATAGAATTTTAAAAAATAGATAAAACTTAGAAATTAATTAATTATTTCTCCATTAAAGCCTCCGATTAACATGTCATTTAATTATGATGCTCCTTATTTAATTCAATATATTCAAATCCCAATTAAGATATTATTTAAATTCAAAATTAATTATTAATTTCTTTATTTAAGGCTCAAGTTGAAATCTCATTTAATTCAACATATTCAAATTCCAATGAAGATGCTATTCAAATCTCATTAATTGAATACATTTGGATCCTATAATATCATACTCGATCTATTTTTAAACGTATAAGATATTACAAGTGTTTAAGAATATAGTTGATAATTGATTGATTGATGATAGTTTATGGTTGATTGATACCATCTTTGTCACCACCAAATTCAAAGACATTTAATTTAATTTAAGGCTAAAATATAATTTTAGTTTTTTTAACTTTTTATTTTGATATCTTAAATTTAAAAAGTAAACTTTTAGTCGTCTAACCCTAAAACTGTTGACAAAAAATAATAATATTAAACTCTTGAGTGCTAATAAAAAATTACTAAATGTTAACATATTAAGTTTAATATTCAAAACAATCATAACTGTCACAAAAAATATTATTTAAGATTAATAATTTTGGGGTTAAAAGACTAAAAATATATATTTTAAAGTTAAGGGATCAAAATAAAACCTTATATAAAATTAAAGGACCAAATATATATTTTAACTTTGATTTTATTATAATTAAACCAGAATCTTAATATCCAACCCGGCCGGGGGGGAAAAAAACTCCAATCTGATAAATAGAGCCAAGTGACGAATATGATGACGGTTCTCAGTTCAGTTCAACTTCAACAGTTCCCACTCCGATAAGGGTTTGGCGAATCCAGAGACGAAAATGGAGGAGCCGCAGAAAACCAAAAATGCTGCCTCATCGAAACCTAAAGCACCTTCTAAGAAGAAGCCGCCGACGCCACAAGAGCTGATAGCTCACTACGAATCGCAAGGCCTCGACTCCAACGCCGCCACCGCGAAGGTCATTGACGATCTCCAGAGGGCGTTTTTCGGAGTCATATCTTCCGGCCGCGGCAAAAAGGACAGACTATTGGCCGATTCTTCCCGAAAGATTGATGCTCTTAACAGCGGCCTCACCATCCTCGACCTTAAGCTTGACTCCAAGCCTGGATATGCCGAAACCTTCGCCATGGGAATCGCTTCCGGCGCCGCTATTAATGGAATCGGAGCTGTAATGCCTCAAATTCTTGGAAGTCTTAATCAAATCTGGAAATCTGTTGCCTCTGTTACCGATTCTTCTTCTTCTTGATTCTCCATCCCGCCAGACATGTTTAATGTATTCGTCAATAATGAACTAAGGTAGTTCCCCCCCCCCCACCCCCACCCCAAGCCTCTGCTTTCTTTTTCAGGTTCTAATTCCAGATTCCATTATTCTTAAGTAGAAACTAGTATGAAAATTGTGCTTCATTATTCGGATAAGATTTTCAGTTACTTCCATTGTTGAATGGGCGTTGACAAAAGGATAATACTCGGCATTATGCGCATTTTAATCAGGTGATTTAAAAAAACAGTTAAAATTAATTAAAAGTAATTAATATGTAATAAATATAATTTTTTTTAAATATACCCCTATATATAAATAGATAGGAATGTAGATATGAGAGAATAATAATGAGATGAATAAAGAAAAAAATATATTAAATATATTAAACTAGTAATAAAATAGATAATAATATAATAAATGTTCAGACAAAAAAAAATCTTATTTATAAAAAAGAATAAATCTATTTAAAAAGTTGATCCTTATAATAAGAGATGGACGGAGGATTCTATATCCTTATTCATCAACAATGTGTGTGTTATCATTAGCTTATCAGTTTCTTTTAAGGATGTGAAAAGCCAGTGGAGTTTTGGCCACAAAAAAAAAAAAAAAAAAGCGCCGGTTGAGTATTCTAAAGTTGTCTATGAGATTTTATTTTATTAATCCCCTCATGTTATGTAGCTTGAGAAAGTTTTCAACGCAATGTACCCAACTATCCCAACTAGGGACAAAATGATGACATGTTTTAATACTAGGCTCTGTTTGGTATGTTGGAAATGAGAGGTGCAGTTATCTGAACGACCCTACTTCCTTTACGGTCCTTCTCCCCTAATCGACACCGTTCACCAAATTTGTAGACTGAAAAGAATTCACTTAATGGAGTGTTGCTGTTTTGTACAAAAGCAGTTCTCTCTCTCTGTTTTTTTTTTTTTTTTGGGTGGTTTTGATGCAATGTTAAAAGAGCAGTTGAGGTAACCTGTCAAACAATGCACTTTCACTTCTTGAGCCTCACCTGGTTGGTTGCTTAGATACCGGATCATGTTAGAAGGCCAGGTCCAGAAAAAGGCATTTGATACCAGCTGGGGGGTCTTGTACCAAGTTAACTTCAAGAGGGAAAAAAGCTGTTTTTGTAGGGGGGTGTTTGGGCGTTGTTATTTCAATGAAGGAGCCATTTTAATGTTAAGGGGAAAAGCTTGCTTGCGTAGTACCTTATGCCTCTCTCACTCTATCTTTTTAGTGCATGTAAACCCATTTTTCATATGAGTATCCTTTTTCTATCGGAAAAAATGATTAAAAAACTAGGAAGAATTTCAAGAAACTCCTTTTGTAGCTAATTAATATCAGTCAATCTTCAAAATATTTCAAAATTTTATTCACTCCCTTTCAACCAAAATGAAGTTAAAATTTAAGGGTTAAAATATAATAATACCCACCTTTTATTTGTTTTTCAAAAACAAATATTAATTATCATCGGAGTTTTGGCCACTAGAGCTTTGACCTCTGACACTGGCCACTTGAGCACTAGTGGTCGGATTTGTGACCTCCAATGGCCAAAGATTTTTTTTTTTTGAAACAAGGTTGTTGATGGGGTTTGAACCTATAATTTCTTGGCACAAAAAAAAAAGACCAACAAGCCAACAAATCCACCCACTTAGTCATACAATACAAAGAAATATATATATATATATATAACAAAATAAATGTAAATGTCTAATTGCAAATGAACAAGTGAAATTTAATAATTTACGAGTGAAATTTAGCATTTACAATAAAAATTCGGCGATTTACAGGAATAATTCACAATCCTAAATACAAGTGTTTAGGTGTGAATTGTTAGTGGTAGCTTCACCTAAGAGGGGGTGAATTGGGTGAGTTATAAAAATTTTAACGTAATGAAACAGAGCTGTAAATAAAACATAGAAGGTTGAGTTAGAAGGATTTCATCACAGAGCGAAGACACAAGATTTATACTAGTTCGGTCTCAACCACTTGACCTACGTCCAATCCTCAGAGCACCTATGAGATTTCCACTATGATCCCAAGATTAAACGGGCTCTTGGCGCTTTAGTACAGTAATTGATTTTCTCAATCACTCCTCCTTACTACCCGTAAAGTTACAATCCTTTTTAAGAGTCCACACTCTTGAGTTACTCTCAGAAAATGAGTAAAAAGTATATCAAACTCTCTTACAGAGTAAATGAGTAATAAACACTGAAGCTCGGAAGAAAACAGAGTATTGAATGCAACAGTAAGTATTTTAGCAAATGATAGCTCACGTATTCAATACTTCATTCAATGCTCTTCGCGCCTTTTATAGTTGGAGACGGTTAATTAACCATTAGGCTGGAGAGCTTCTAGTCGTTGAAAAATCCGTTGCATGTGCTCGGCAGTTACAATGATATTTCGCCACTAATGTTTCTAGCATGGTAGGTTACATGCTACTAAGTAACTGTTGAGCTTGCTTCGTGATCTGTAACAATACATAAAACAAGTAAGTTCTCTTTCAGAAGGAAACTTGTGAAGATAACTGAACAAATAATGATCATTGATATTCATATACTAGTTAGAAAGCATTGAATCAAACATCAGGTTCTTTAAATATGAACTGAACGTACTTGATCGATGTCTTGATTGATAAGTAGTTGATCGATCAAGTTTTTGATTAAATACAGAGAAAGCTTTAGTCACATATATATACATTTATCGATAAGCTTATAGATCAACAGATGATCGGATAAGTGATCAATAAACGATGAAAAATGAATACGGTGACTTTGGAAGAAATTTTTCAAGAATAAAACTTTTAAATTCATCTATGCCTTTGAATCCTTTCAAAGAGAATTATGTGTAAAAGGAAGGCTAAGAAAAGCTTAAAGATAAAAAGGATAAAAGATTTTAAAATGATCGTGAAAAGTTTGCTATGAAATGAACTAGTACAATGATCGAACAAGTGATCAAAAATTGTTTGATCGATTATATTATCGATAAAGCTAAGTATGAGGGGAAAAGATTTTGAACATAATTGATCGAACATTTTATCGATAAATGAATAATAAATAAACTAATCGATAAAAGGTTTAAAATAGATTTTCTCAGATAAGTTACAGAATATTTGATGATCGAGTAAATGATCGATTAAGGATTAATCGATTAAGTGATCGATAAAATATCATTGAAGAACTTAGTTTAAGCAGGTCAGGAAAAGGCTTGATTGATCACGTTATGTGAACACAGAGGTTTCAGAAGTTTGGATGATCGATCATTTGATCGATAACTCAATGATCGATCAGGTGATCCAAAAATGACTTAAAATAGTTTAATGCAGTGAGATGATGATGATTGATCATTTGATCGATGAAGCACTGATCGATCAATTGATCGATTAAGGAACCTGACAACATACTTAGAGAGAGAAAAAAAAATATCGATAAAACAGTAAGTTATCAAGCAATGTCAGAACAGGTTATTGATTAATTATTGATTGATAAAGTGATCAATAAATGGTGAATTAACTAGAATACTAAGTGAGTACGAAGACTTTACCATTTATCTGTGCTTTCATCGATAACACGTTCATCGATCATATGATCGAACATTTGATTATCAATTAATTGATCGATAATTTTCTGTAAGCTTTTATAGAAATCAGTGTTAACGATGATCGATCAATTGATTGATCAACTTATAAAATTTGAATTATCTATTAGTCTATTGATCAAACCTACTGGCAACTTACTAGCAAACAGTGACAATTTATCTGACACAACATCGATTAACCTTTGATCGATCAGGTGATTGATCAACATACTAAACCAGAACTTACTTAAATTGTTATCATCAAAACCTTAAATCTAACATTCTTTCCCTTTTTGATGATGATAAAACATAAGTGTAAGAATAATCAAATTTTATCAGATAAATACTTACCTTAAGACCAGAATTGAGCAAAAACACATGATAGATAGAAATATTTATCAATAACCATCAAACCGTCAAAGTTTAGTAGAAATGCATCACTGATAGCATTTAAGTACTATCAGAATACAGACATAACAGAAAGCACAAGTAAATTAAAAAAAATATCAGAATTTAAATTACAGAAAATAGAAAAACATAATACACAAAAAAATATAATAAAAAGCACAACTAAAATGCAGAAGGACTAAGCAGACTTCTTCTCCCCCTTTTTGTCGGCGTCAAAAGATGGGGAAGGAGAAGAGATAGTAGGCAAGGTAATGGGAATAGGGAGAGGGGGAAGTTGAGAAATTAGCTTGGAACATACACCCTTTTCTCAGGGATACCTCCTTTTGTGTGGAGGTCCAAGATAGTGTGTAATCCTTCAAATTTTCTATCCGAGATTTCCCCATAATCTTTTACAGTGGCATACACCCTTTTCTTAAACTCTTATAATTTAGCTTGGAACATATTCTGGATGGTGTTGCCATAAAATCAGGGATTAGAGGTTTAAGATGGTTCTATAGAAGACTCAGCCTCATCCTGGCCCTTTGAAGCACTAGTCACTGACTGTTTTCCTTTCTCTTTCCTTACCAGTTTTTGTAAAGATCGAAAGGGTACTAGAATTCTCATTTTATTGTGCTAATTAATTCCAAATGTAGGAACCTTTACTTTGACTTCTCCAGGCTCAAATGGTGCAATGTTGTTTACTTGGAGAAAGTATGTGACCAGCTGAGGATAGGGAATGGGTGTGGATTTGGACTTTTTAAGAGTGAAATCCTTTATCTCACTATAGATCAAGGCTCCAATATTAATTTTCTCTCCACTGATTATTTTGGCCAACAGGAGGTAGTCATCCTGGTTTAAGTGTGAAAAACTGCCAGACTTGTTCACCATGTTCCTCGAATAAATGTAGTGAATTATTCGGTAATAATCACACATTTGCTTCGGTGGAAAGTTTAGCTCTCCTGGGTAGTTATCACTCTTCATCAGAATTTTTTATGCCTTTATGTCATTCATGTCCCCTCCTCTGACATATTCTAGATTCCCCGAAGTTCATTTATCTTAGCAGAAGTAAGAGTAATGGTTCTGCCTCTGAGTTTTGTTGTGAGATA